TAGGGACTTACGTTATTCTATCTGTAATGCTGAAAATTTGTATATATAATCAACGGAGATTGTTTGGTGCAAGTCAGGAGGCCTTGGAACGCTTTTTTTTGGGGTGTTAGTATAAAGTATTTTTATACTAAGTAACTCTGATTTCGGACATCTGGGTGTTAGTAGGTCTTTTTATAGATAACTCGCGCTTGATCGAATGGCACCATAGAAATTTGATTTCGGGTGTTAGTGGATGTTAGCTTCTTTTACTAATACTTATATTTACTTATATTTAGCATTATATCTATTGTATAGACAATACAAGTGTCAAAATCGACATCTTCAAATCTCTTCGTTTCTATTGAACAATTTTTCACCAATCAAGCACCACAAAAATTTGGCGATTCTTTCCTTTTTCTTTTTGACGTAACGAAAAAACAAATCGACGGTATGCGTGAAACAATCCATTTGTATTACATGACATTAGTTTATCGTTAATCTAGTTGTGTCTGGATCATTCTTCTTATAGGTGGAGGACGTTTGATGAATCTCATTTGTTTTGTGAATAAATTAGTCGCAGTGAGAAGAATTTTTAACTCATTTGTAAAACATAAGGTTAAATACTTGTAAAAGCGGTGAGTGATGAATTGGTACCATGGAAGCGTCGGAGAGATGACGTTCACCCTCGAACAGCCTAAATAGTCTAAATTCATAATCTTTATGTTTTTATCTATAGCTTTGCCAGAAATAAACAATAATAATTTTTGATGTCATGCGCCTGTGTTTTCAAGCTACTTTTTGCCGTTGCATTTTCTCATGATCGTTAGCACCTCGAACAAAAAAAATTATGCCATGAAATAGAGCACATATCGAAGTGTATTTTCACCCTCTTTGAATCCGGGAAAAGTAGACTTTCGAGTTTTTGACCACATATCTGCATGGATGCATACTGTGAGGAGTTAGATAAAACTAACTAGATCAAGACTGAAGGCTCTTGTAGCAGTTTGATTGCTGTACTTTTATTGCTTTTCTAGATGTTGGACCGAATGTTCATCTTCGGTCTTGGCATAGTTATGCTTTTGACATGCCATGATCTTCGTCGAACATATACCAATTCTGCGAATGAATCTTCTCAATCTATCGATAGTTCTACTTTTACATCATCACAAAGTGATATACCAATACCAAAAATGAAAACATCATTCACAGCTCCATCTGTAAAATTTCTTTATTGCCACAGCTGAGGGTAACTAATTGTTATTTTCAACGATTTCTCTTCCCACTATAAATTTGTGATATTCTTTTGTTTAGATATCGTAACGTGTTTAAACAGTTTTCTCAACTCGTTCGAACACACTATCCTCAACTATCTGTTGTTGGCGAAAATTATCCGCCACCAGCTTACAAATCTTTATTAGCCCAATGTTTAAGTATTTTTAAAATGTTGTTTTTAGTTTGTATTTTATTAGGACAAAATCCATTTGCCATTGCCGGTTTAACAACGCCTGCCGTATTCCAATGGGCATTACAAAATAAACTTTATTCATGTTTAATGTTATTCTTTTTTTCAAATTCACTAGAATCATTTCTCATGTCAACAGGAGCCTTTGAAATATCTGTTAACGATGTTCCGTTATGGTCCAAATTAGAAACTGGACATTTACCATCTGCTCAAGATTTTCTTCAAATGTTACGAACGTTTCAAAATAAAGAGAATACAATTGGTGGAGGAGGACCAAATATTGGTAACATGCCACGATCACCGACGTTTAGTTCGTAAATAATTATTCTTCGCTTAACGCAATTGTTACACTCGTATGTTAATAAAAGCAAGTGCAATAGTAGTGTTTCCATTTGAGAGAAATTTCTCTCTTCAGATTACTTGACATTTCGGCAAATGAGAGAAGCTAGAACTTATTAGGAATGAAATTATACGCGTTTTTCTTTATTTATATTTTTGTTCATTTGCTTGTTTTTTCGGTTCTTTTTTTATGTATGTGGAGAAAGTTTTTTATTAATATCGTATTTTTGTTGATTTTTCGTTGTTAACGAATACGAAAAAATGAGGATCTTAGTCGAAAGTGATTTGTACATCACAGACTTTGATTTGATAAAAATGCTCTATTCTGAAACATGAAATTAACAACAAAAATTGATGTTGACAGAATACTTTTTCACGCATATTCAGTCGTCTCACTCGCTGTGTTATTTCTTATTGTATTCATCTTTTTTATATTTATTGCAAAGTACAATAAGACAAAAGAAGAATATGATTTAGTTTATACTGCTTAGATTACCAATTCTCAAACTCTCTGTAGCAAATATTGTATTATACAACGGGAAAAAATGACATGGCATACAGAAGACAAATGTTGAGATGTTTCTGATCAGAGTGGAAATCTTTTTCACTCAAATTTTTATAATGTTTTTAAAGTGACAAATGAAGTTTAGTAACAGGTAATGCAAAATAATATCTGATTATAGACTTTTGTCTGCTACCAGTAATACAGATAATTGAAAATAAGCATGTATATCAAGAAGACTGTTGATTTATGATCGTCCACAGATTTATTCTTCATCATAACATAACATATGCTTTTTTATGTTGAGAAATAGCAGATACTTCAGAATAAATTTATAAATTATTGTAACAAAATAATAATCTTTTATAAAATGGTTCTCAATCTCCATCATGCACTTATTAGGAAAATGAGTTAATGCATGAAGACTAAAATTAAATCGATTAGTCTGATGCATTCATCTATACTTCATTGGACAATGTGTAAGAATATATGAGATTTTTTGAAAGGATCCTTTTGGTGTATTGTGTTAGATTGATGATCACCACTAAATTCATTTCAATCTTCTTCACCTATAAATTAATTATCAGCTCAAGAAAAAAAGTTGTGTTTTTTATTCGTAATGCACTATGACTGATGATTTTTGCTATTTATTTTCTAATAATATTGGTTCTAGACGCTGATTATCTTAATTGTCTATCACATTTCTGTCTCTTTCCGTCAAAATTTTCATGCTTGACACAAACTTATCAATATGTCAACGTAGTGTACTTTACAGTATGAATACATTGTACTATTCTTGACGTAATCACCTTGAACATGTATCGAAAATAAGTTGGAAAAAATGAAAAAGGTAAGAGAAAGTTATTATAATACGCAATGTCATTCTCTTTTAGTAGACATACGTTAATTTATCTGCTATTTTTTGTTAGTTACCAATGTTTTGCGTCATCAATCATAAGGAGTATTTGTATTTGATTTATTTATACATCGAATCGGTTTTCCAGCTCATTGATTACGTATATAAGATGTAAGGCACATTTATATTCTTACTCATTGTCCACACCAAAATAAAAGTCTTTACTATCTAATCTGATTTATAATTTGTGCATAATTTCCGATTATTCAACATTCAGATTCCTTATCTGTACTTTAGGTCGCTGAATACTGTATCTGCTTTATTTTGTACAGAATATTCATGCATCCTTCAAGTCAATCAAAAACCAAGACAATACAAGGGTCTCTTCCAGTCATTGATTCTGGCCAAGACGTTCAAGAAACGAATGAACGACGTCACATACATCTTCGCCAACTACTTCCACCAACGAATGTTATCGATCATCTACGTACAAAAATTACAAATAAAAAGGGGAGTGATAAAACATCGCCACCGCAGTCTTTAATAACGACAAGTGCTCCAAATGAGCCAGTTAATAGAAAAAGTTTGAAATCGATTATGTCAAACGAAGCCACAAAATCTCATGAAAATAGTGCTTCTTCATTACCACCTATGGAATCCAATGTCAAGCAAAATGGACCACAAATTGTGGAAAATAATCAAGTAGAGGTAGCATCTTCTATAAATAATGTTAATGACGAAAATATTACAATAAAAGAAATAGTTGAAAAGAATCGTACATCTTCGTTTAACGAAAGTGAACAAGAAGAAAGCTTGGCGATCGATCGTGATCAGCTGAAAAAACGAAAAAAAGGGAAAAGAAGTAATCGTGTAACACCACGTCAAAAAACTCGTATTTCTCATAAATCACAGCTATCTTCATTGGACGATAGTCAACAGGATTCAATTTCAGAGAATAAAGTATCAAAACAAAAACGACACATTATTCGAAGTTGGGTAAAGAGTTTCTTAGGAGAGTTATTCTAAATTCATTGAAATATTTTTTGTTTTAGCCATTTCAATTACGAGATGAAGATTTTTGGGAACTATTTCAAGATTTGCCAAGCGAAGAACAATTGATTGTTTGTAAAGTGTTCTTCAAATCCAATATGAACTGAAAATAAATTTTATGTTTACGTTCTAGCTTATCCGTGCGGATATCAGAAGACTGATGTTTTAATTCAACAGGGTAGAATATTTTTAACACAAAATTATCTCTCATTTTATGGAAATTTTTTAAGATGGGAAGCATGTGTAAGAATGATAATGACAAAATGAGAGGATGTGCAAAGAATGTATCAATAATTGTTTTTGTTTTTAGTTCTCAATAGTATTTAAACATATTATTTCTTTAACTTGTGGAAAAATTGGAAAAATATTACCAAATTCAATTGAGATAGAGACAAATAAACAAGAATCGTATCATTTACAAGTTTAATTAACAGAGAAAAAGTGTATGTGACGATGTTTTCCAGTAGGGCAAAACACATTGCTCATAGCTTGCACAATACGCATCCGCCGAGAATTTGATGTTCTAAGAAATGAATTCGCATTCGCCGGGAATTCGTTATAATGCATGGTGGTGTATATGATATATTTGCGAATTCTCTACAATT